CAGCCGTAGTTACACCCAGACTCCCCAGGACCGGGTTGCCCGCACATAGTGAACGGAGCGCGACGCTGTCAACCAGTTTCTTGTTCGCGCTCACCTGCCATTCGACCAGAGGGCCCACTTTCGCCAGGTGACGTCAGCCCAGACTTTCTACGACGCCGTGGTTAGGCACTACTCCTCCCTCTCTCCTGCCACCCAGTCGCAGCAGCGGCAGCGTCCGTTGTTCTGGGAGTGGGAGCAACTGGCCGAGGAGACGAGTGTAGGTGCATGTGAGTCTGCTCACATTGGTGGTGCAACTGGTGGAGGCGGAAAATCTGGGGGTGGGCGGCAGTGGCGTCAGCAGGAGGCCCTCTCGCCGCAGCAGCCTCGCGAGTGTGTTTCCCAGCGAGACGTCCCTGGTAGTGTAGAGACTGCTAGTGTAGGTTCTTGTGAGTCAGCTAGAACAGGTGCAGTTCCTGCGAAAGCTTTGCACACCTTCACGATGGACTCTGGCGTGTCTCGCTGCTTCTTTCGCGAGTGCACCACAATCACACCGCTCACAGCACCTGTCCCTGTCACTTTGGCCGATCCCTCATCTGGCCCAGTCGTTGCACGTGGCACCACTGTTCTCCAGTGTCCAACAGGCCCCTCGGACTCCCTCATAGGTTTTCAACTCCACTCGTTCACTATGAACTTGGTGAGTAAGGTTGTCATCCACGATTAGTTGGTCACCATCACTACTCCTGGGGCGAGCTTGTGGCGATCTTGACAGACCCGGTAACTGACAACCACCTCACCACGTTCACCCGGACTAGTGGCTGGACTAGTGTCTACACAAGTGCCTACACTAGCAACAGGCAACTCAGCAAGACTAGCACCTAAGCTAACAACACACGAGTAAACAGAGTCAGAAGCACTAGAATCAACAACAGCATACATAGCATGAGGAGTTCCTAAGTGATCAAGCAACTGAGAAGCAGACATGCCCCAAAGAGCGGAGCCGTACGTCTGAACAAGAGGTAACCAGTCAGGGGCAGGGCCGCCAACGCCGAAGGCCATGCGAACCGTGTCAGTGAGCTGAGCAAAGCACTGACCAGGAGGGTGGGTGCGACCACAAGGCTGGCCTCGGCGAGCACTTGTCAGAACCTGATAGGTGCACGAAGGGTGAACAACACCTCGCTGGGGCGGACGCTGTCCCAGCCCCGAAACCTGCTGCTGCCACTGCTGCTACGGGGGCTGCTGCAAGGGGAGGGGCTGCTGCTGCTGCACCTGCTGCTGCCGCTGGGCCAGGTACCACGCCGCTGCTCCACCCACCGCGGCCGGCAGACCAGGAGGAGGCTGACGAGTCCGGGTGTCGCCTCCACCAGCTGCAGTAGGGGAGTCACTGGCCGCTGCACGAGACGCCTCTCCAGGCCCTGCGCTCCCGCCGCCACCGGTCAGCACGCCACCCCCACCACCTCCGCCGCCAACGCCGCCACCGCCGCCGCCGCCTGCACCCTGACCGCCCCTCCTGCCACCCCTACCTCGAGACCGCGACGTAGTCGTAACAGCAGCTGCGGTCACGTCAGTAGTGGCAGTGGCTAGCGAGGCAGTAAAAGTGGGCAGCTGAGGGACAGTGCACCCGTGAAACAGTGGAGGGGGCACAGCACCAGAGGCGGAGGCTACGGAGCGGAGGTTGCTCTCGACGTCCTTGAGCGCAGACTCAAGGACCTCGATAGTGAGTTCACTAGGGTGCTTCAGAAGAAGCGTGTCACGAACCGAGGCAAGGCGGTCAGGGAGGCTAGTGGCAATGAAGTAGATAGTAATCGCCATAGGAGGGGGAAGCAGTGCAAGCTGTGCGTCAGTGCAAGCAGCGCGGTAGCTAGAATCGAGCGAGCGGAGGTGAGCAATCAAGTCAGCAGAGCGCTCAAATGAGGCGAGGTCAGGGAACAAGAACGGTAGGAAGAGGCGGCCAAGGGAGACAGTGGTGGGAGTAGCGTAGCGGGCCTTGATCGCAGTCAGGAACTCACTAGCAGTGCGAACCTGAGTGAAGTGGGCCTCCTCAGACTCAGGGAGGAGGATGCTAAGAGCGATACAGGTCGCAGCGTCACGCGACTTCCACGCCGTCAGGTCAGCACGCTGGCGGGTAAAGCGGTCTCTGGCGGCGTCGTCAGGGGCAGGGCCTAAAGGCGTAGGGTTGTCGGGCGCAGGAAGGTCACCAGTAGCGTGCGCCCAGAGGGACTCGCCCGTCTGGACCTGACTCTCTAGAAGGCGACGCGCGCGTAGGAGCCAGACCGGAAACTCGAGCGGTATACCGTCAGCGTCAAAACGAGGAACCCTAGGGGACGCCATAGCAAAAGCAAAGAGGTGGGAAGTGCTGCTGCTGAAACCCTAATCACTGAGAGCGACGCAGTAGGGCGCTACGGGACATAGGGTAGGGCACTACGGGACACAGAGTAGGGCGCAACACTGCTGGACTAGGAGGGCGCAGCGCCACGGGCAGGGGTAGCGCGACGCGACGTAGCGGGACAGGACGGGCAGCGCGACACGACGCGACGCGACGGGACGGGACGGACTGCGCGACGCGGACGGGCAGCGCGACGCGACGCGAAGGGACGGGACGGACGGGCAGCGCGACGCGGACGGTCGGGACGGGATGGACGGACGGGACGGACGGACGGGACGGGACGGGACGGGACGGACGGACGGGACGGACGGACGGGACGGGACGGACGGGACGGGGCGGACGGGACGGGACGGGACGGGACGGACGGACGGGACGGACGGGACGGGACGGGACGGACGGACGGACGGGACGGACGGGACGAGACGGGACGGGACGGGACGGGACGGGACGGACGGCGCGACGCGGACAGACAGCGCGACGCGGACGGACGGGACAGGAGTGAAGGCGCGACGCGGACGGGCAGCGTGACGCAGACGGACGGGACGGGACGGACGGCGCGACGCGAACGGACAGCGCAGCGGGCGCTAGGGCACGATAGCGACGTAACGGCAGGCGCAGCGGGCGCTAGGGCACGATAGCGACGTAACGGCAGGCGCAGCGGGCGCGAGGGCACGATAGCGACGTAACGGCAGGCGCGATAGGCGCTAGGGGACAGTACGAGCGTAACGGGCACTAGGGTACGGGACAGGCTCGGGCGCTACGGACGTGAACGAGAGAAACGGGATCCCACAGGATCCTAACCGCTCTGATACCATGTCAAGAATGAAAGTGTTGGTTCATTGATGTGGATTGGGGTACATATAACAAACCCTAACATCTGTACCCCCTAAGACAAACCTCACTACAGGCTACAACATTTGACATCTTGCCGCATTACATTCATTTAAGCATGCGTGGTGTGTACTTCATTACTAATATTCGTATTATTTATTATATGCAATTATCACAACAACATCAAGCAGCAAAATATATAATGCATACAGTATAGCATATAAGCAAAAAACTAATACAATAAAAATGAGTTTAATATATGCACAATGGGAAGGGTGGTACTGTAGCATACGAATTTTATTTTCATGAGGGCGACGGGAAGATGGAATGAGGGCGACGGGAAGATGGAATGAGGGCGACGGGAAGATGGAATGAGGGCGACGGGAAGCTTCTCACCATGCGATATGTGAAAGGCAGGCGCGACCAAATGGCGGGAAGGGGATTTCCCGGGCAGGGCGGGAGGCAAGATGCTGAGGCTGTCTCTAGCGCGTTTGTTTCTAATCGGCTCCGACGCGCGGCGTAAGATGGCTACGCATTGCAGACGATGGATACGTCCGCCCTGTGACCTATGGGAAGCGAGCGTGGTCGAGTGTTTGTGTATTAGCCTATACTTTTAGACTCTCTGAATAAATCGCCAGTTCAGGCCTCGATGTGTCTCGCTAACTCACGCCCGCACTGGCATTTAGTAACAGCCTCCTCTATCCTCACCCTAAGCACCGCACTTTGCTGGTCCAGTCCACACGGACATTCGCTCCTTACGGCTATTCCGCGTATTTCTAGAATCTAAGGTGGCGCCCTGCTGAAGTGGACTAAGCAACTAATATGTTTGTTCGAGTGCATGTGTGGCTGCTCAAACTGTGCACAGTTTCCCTGGCACGTTGCTTCTCAGGTTTGTCGAGTTTGGGAAGAAGGACCCTGCCTGCTTTTTACAACCAATCAGCATGTAGGGAGTTTGTGGCGAACTACTTTCAGTCGCAAAGTGTTTTTGAGGCTTCGCCTGTCACTCAACCCATCCGAACCTCCAACTGGCAGCCCGCCGAACCTAGAAATACTCAGTTGACTTCCGTTGAGTAATTCAGGTCTTGGGCTTAAAAAAAAAAACACATGAAAAGAAAATTTGTCAAAATCGATCGTAAAGGGTTGCTTCGCAACCCAAAAAATGAGCAAATACTTATGTGCGAATATGCAAATGGTAACGCGGTGCGTGCGAGCTAGCTAGTGCGACGCTGACGTCGAGGTTTGGGCTAGTCCCGAAGCGTAGGCCGACATGGCCGGGACAGCGGTGGATGGTTTGGTTGGTGAATAGTGCGCGCGAAGGTTGGCGAAGCCCCGTTAGCAGTAATGCCGAAAAATTCCTTATGGTTGGCCGCAACTACAACTCAACCTCATAAAATCCAGCACACCTCAAATCCTTGTTGCAAAGCAGGAAAATGGCTGTCACATCCGCCGCGCTCTTTCCCGTCGCCGCCTCGTCGCATTCTCTCGCATTCTCTCGCCTATCTGTGTCGCATTCGACCCAGCTCCGTTTTCCTCCACCACCGCCTTCCCGCCCGTGCGACCCCAGCTCCCACCATGGCGCGCATCTGCATTCCGCGAATTGCGCTCGCTACTGTCCCTCCGCGCGCCCTGATTCAGCGAGCAACGGTGGTTTTGCGCGAGCGCAAACGACTCGGCGGAAGCAGGCGGAGTTGGAGGCCGGTTGCGGCGGGGTAGGGCGGAAAGGCGGCGGGTCGGAGTGGGTGGGGGGGTTTAGAGTCCACAGCAAATGGTTGTGCGACAGGCGATCTTTGTGCGACACGCGACCGCTATGCGACACGCGATCGCTGTGCGTAGGGGGATGTTCCGCAAGCCTGGAGCATTCCGTCTCAGCCCAGTCCAGCGAGGCGTGGCGACGTTTTCCCAACGACGGACGGCGACGAGGGGGGCTGGGCGCGCGGAGCGAACTCCCGCTGCGGCTTCGGGGGGAACAGCGGCGGGTGCGGAAGGGCGCGGCTTTGGCGGAGCGCGGACAGATGGGGAAGAGGAGTGGGGTGGTGAGGGTGAGAGCGAGGGCATGGTGGGGAAAGGGCGGGGCGGGGAAGACTGCAGCGGAGCAATTACTAGCCGAGGTGGAGGGGGAGGCGGTAGAGTGGGGGAGGGGGGAAGAAGGGGGCGGTGAGGGCAGACGGGGCGGGGCAGGAGCCGGTGAGACGGGTGGGGGGCGGGCGAGGGCGGGAGAGATGCTTGCGTGGGAGGGGCAGGGGCGAGCAGGTGAGGATATGGACATGGGCGATGGGAGTGATGGGGTTGGCAGCCCGGAGGGAAGGAGACGGCAGCAGAGCGAGGCGAGCAAAGAATGGCGCAGCAGGAGAAAGGGTAGTGGGACAGGGGGCAGAGAACGGGGCAGCAATGGGGAACGCAAGGGGGAAGGCACAGGGGAAGGAAGCGGCGAGGAGATGCTGGTGCCGTCGGCGGCAGTGCTGCTGCTGCAGGGGCTGACGGTGGAGGCGCGATGGCGCCTGCTGGTCCAATGCACAGATGCCCTGGTTGCTGAGGTAGGCCCTGGTTGCTGAGGTAGGCCCTGGTTGCTGAGGTAGGCCCTTTCTCCATCCATGCACAATCTGATAGGCACGGATATGTGCTCATTCACCCAGTCCTCCGTTCCTCCGTTCCTCCTTTCCTCCGTTCCTCCCGTTCCTCCGTTCCTCCATTCCTCCGTTCCTCCGTTCCTCCGTTCCTCCGTTCCTCTGTTCCTCCGTTCCTCCGTTCCTCCGTTCCTCCGTTCCTCCGTTCCTCCGTTCCTCCGTTCCTCCGTTCCTCCGTTCCTCCGTTCCTCCGTTCCTCCGTTCCTCCGTTCCTCCGTTCCTCCGTTCCTCCGTTCCTCCGTTCCTCCGTTCCTCCGTTCCTCCGTTCCTCCGTTCCTCCGTTCCTCCGTTCCTCTGTTCCTCCGTTCCTCCGTTCCTCCGTTCCTCCGTTCCTCCGTTCCTCCGTTCCTCCGTTCCTCCGTTCCTCCGTTCCTCCGTTCCTCCGTTCCTCCATTCCTCTGTTCCTCCGTTCCTCCGTTCCTCCGTTCCTCTGTTCCTCTGTTCCTCCGTTCCTCCGTTCCTCCGTTCCTCCGTTCCTCCGTTCCTCTGTTCCTCCGTTCCTCTGTTCCTCCGTTCCTCCGTTCCTCCGTTCCTCCGTTCCTCCGTTCCTCCGTTCCTCCGTTCCTCTGTTCCTCCGTTCCTCTGTTCCTCCGTTCCTCCGTTCCTCTGTTCCTCCGTTCCTCCGTTCCTCCGTTCCTCCGTTCCTCCGTTCCTCTGTTCCTCCGTTCCTCTGTTCCTCCGTTCCTCCGTTCCTCCGTTCCTCCGTTCCTCCGTTCCTCCGTTCCTCCGTTCCTCCGTTCCTCCGTTCCTCCGTTCCTCCGTTCCTCTGTTCCTCCGTTCCTCTGTTCCTCCGTTCCTCCGTTCCTCCGTTCCTCCGTTCCTCCGTTCCCCCCTTCCTCCGTTCCTCCGTTCCTCCGTTCCTCCGTTCCTCCGTTCCTCCGTTCCTCTGTTCCTCCGTTCCTCCGTTCCTCCGTTCCTCCTTTCCTCCGTTCCCCCCTTCCTCCGTTCCTCCGTTCCTCTGTTCCTCCGTTCCTCTGTTCCTCCGTTCCTCCGTTCCTCCGTTCCTCCGTTCCTCCGTTCCTCCGTTCCTCCGTTCCTCCGTTCCTCTGTTCCTCCGTTCCTCTGTTCCTCCGTTCCTCCGTTCCTCCGTTCCTCCGTTCCTCCGTTCCTCCGTTCCTCCGTTCCTCTGTTCCTCCGTTCCTCCGTTCCTCCGTTCCTCCGTTCCTCCGTTCCTCCTTTCCTCCGTTCCCCCCTTCCTCCGTTCCTCCGTTCCTCTGTTCCTCCGTTCCTCCGTTCCTCCGTTCCTCCGTTCCTCCGTTCCTCTGTTCCTCCGTTCCCCCCTTCCTCTGTTCCTCCGTTCCTCCGTTCCTCCGTTCCTCCGTTCCTCCGTTCCCCCCTTCCTCCGTTCCTCCGTTCCTCCGTTCCTCCGTTCCTCCGTTCCTCCGTTCCTCCGTTCCTCTGTTCCTCCGTTCCTCCGTTCCTCCGTTCCTCCGTTCCTCCGTTCCTCCTTTCCTCCGTTCCCCCCTTCCTCCGTTCCTCCGTTCCTCTGTTCCTCCGTTCCTCTGTTCCTCCGTTCCTCCGTTCCTCCGTTCCTCCGTTCCTCCGTTCCTCCGTTCCTCCGTTCCTCCGTTCCTCTGTTCCTCCGTTCCTCCGTTCCTCTGTTCCTCCGTTCCTCTGTTCCTCCGTTCCTCCGTTCCTCCGTTCCTCCTTTCCTCCGTTCCTCCGTTCCCCCCTTCCTCCGTTCCTCTGTTCCTCCGTTCCTCCGTTCCTCCGTTCCTCCGTTCCTCCGTTCCTCCGTTCCTCCGTTCCCCCCTTCCTCCGTTCCTCCGTTCCTCTGTTCCTCCGTTCCTCCGTTCCTCCGTTCCTCCGTTCCTCTGTTCCTCCGTTCCTCCGTTCCTCCGTTCCTCTGTTCCTCCGTTCCTCTGTTCCTCCGTTCCTCTGTTCCTCCGTTCCTCTGTTCCTCCGTTCCTCCGTTCCTCCGTTCCTCCGTTCCTCCGTTCCTCCGTTCCTCCGTTCCTCCGTTCCTCTGTTCCTCCGTTCCTCCGTTCCTCTGTTCCTCCGTTCCTCTGTTCCTCCGTTCCTCCGTTCCTCCGTTCCTCCGTTCCTCCTTTCCTCCGTTCCCCCCTTCCTCCGTTCCTCCGTTCCTCTGTTCCTCCGTTCCTCCGTTCCTCCGTTCCTCCGTTCCTCCGTTCCTCCGTTCCTCCGTTCCTCCGTTCCCCCCTTCCTCCGTTCCTCCGTTCCTCTGTTCCTCCGTTCCTCCGTTCCTCCGTTCCTCCGTTCCTCTGTTCCTCCGTTCCTCCGTTCCTCCGTTCCTCCGTTCCTCCGTTCCTCCGTTCCTCCGTTCCTCCGTTCCTCCGTTCCTCCGTTCCTCTGTTCCTCCGTTCCTCTGTTCCTCCGTTCCTCCGTTCCTCCGTTCCTCCGTTCCTCCGTTCCTCCGTTCCTCCGTTCCTCCGTTCCTCCGTTCCTCCGTTCCTCCTTTCCTCCGTTCCCCCCTTCCTCCGTTCCTCCGTTCCTCTGTTCCTCCGTTCCTCCGTTCCTCCGTTCCTCCGTTCCTCCGTTCCTCCGTTCCTCCGTTCCCCCCTTCCTCCGTTCCTCCGTTCCTCTGTTCCTCCGTTCCTCCGTTCCTCCGTTCCTCCGTTCCTCTGTTCCTCCGTTCCTCCGTTCCTCCGTTCCTCCGTTCCTCCATTCCTCCGTTCCTCCGTTCCTCCGTTCCTCCGTTCCTCCGTTCCTCCTTTCCTCCGTTCCTCCGTTCCCCCCTTCCTCCGTTCCTCCGTTCCCCCCTTCCTCCGTTCCTCCGTTCCTCCGTTCCTCTGTTCCTCCGTTCCTCCGTTCCTCCGTTCCTCCGTTCCTCCGTTCCTCCGTTCCTCCGTTCCTCCGTTCCTCTGTTCCTCCGTTCCTCCTCCATGCATCCCCCTGTGGCAGCGCTTCCTCCGTTCCTTACTTCCCTCCATCCCTCCCTCCACCCCTCGCTCCCTTCCCCAGGCCAGTGCGATCGACAGCAAGGCGCGCCAGCTGTCGCAACAGGACTGGTCCACGTATTGCACTGATGTGATTGGCCGGGCAGTGCTGACGTCAGCCAGGAGGTGGCAGCAACAACTGGTGGGCGGCAGCGGGAGGAGAAGAGAGGAGCGAGGGGGCGGGGTGGCAGCAGGGGAGAGTGGTGGGGCTGCTGCCGTTGGTGATGCGGCTGGGGGGAGTGGTGGCGGGCGGGAGGGGGTGAGAGGAGGGGGTAGCGAGGCGGAAGGGGTTGCAGTGGGGGAGTGGCAGGGGAGGGAGTGGTGGGTGAGAGGGGAGGCGGTGAGGGGGGCAGTGGAGGATGGCAGGTGGGCGCTCTACTGCCACCTGCTGGCCCACCTCCGGTTCACCCCGCATGAGGGGGCTGACAGGTGAGGCTGCTACTGGTGTCGTGCCGTCTTGAAAGGCTGTAGAACCGCCATTATCGGCTGTAGTGTAGAACCGCCATTATCGGCTGTAGAGCCGCCATTATCGGCTGTAGTGTAGAACTGCCATTATCGGCTGTAGAACCGCCATTATCGGCTGTATTACCTTCTCTGTCGGCTTGGAATGGACTTGTGATACCCGCTTCTCCCGTATCCTCATCGCCTCCTTCCCGCTTGTGTATCCCCACTTCCCGCCTTCCCCCCAGTTGCATGGTGCATGTGGTGTTGGACTGGAGTGGATGCCTGCGTGGTGGAGATGGCAGAGGCAGCACCGACGGTGACTGTGCCCCACCCTTCTCCCATATCACCCTTCCCCTTCTTCCCCCTCTCGCCCCAAGTCGCATTGTAAGTGTGGTGTGGGACAACTGCGAGGTGGATACGGCAGAGGCAGTACACGTGGCTCTGTCTCCTACTCCCTGCTGCCACCTATCATACCCTTCCGCCCCCGCCCCACGCCGCACCCCGTTTCTCCCCTTCACCCTCGCAGCCGCATAGCGCAAGTGGTGTTGGACGATCTGGTGGTGGAGATGGCAGAGGCGGTGCTGCTCACGGTGATAGAGGCGGCCGGCACACAGGAGAGCCGCCAATGGATGGGGCTCTCCCTGCCCGGCCCTGACTCGCTTGACTTCGTTGACTCGCTTGACTTGGTTGAGGGGGGCTACAGCGGTGGCAGCAGGGGGACAGGGATGGTGGGGTTGAGAGAGTCGCAAGGGGGGATTGGAGGGTGGGACGTGGAAGGGGAGGGGTTGAGTGTTGTCGGACAGGGCAGGGGAAACAGCAGCAGGGGAGGAGTGAGCATGGGCGATGTGCTATCTCTGTTCCGAGAGGAGTATCGGTCCTCCCGACGGTTTGAGAAGTTCAGGAATGAGGTGAGTCACTCACATGCATACACGAGTCCTTGAGACACCATTCATCATGTCTTCTCCCCCCAAATTTGGGGCCCAAACCTCGCAAATCCTGCTACTCCCTACCATTATACTTCCGCCCTCACCCCCTTGCTCGCGTGCTTAACTCTTCCTTTTTCCGCCTCCTCGCACTCTTCACTTATCATGACTGCTCCATGTGGGTGCTGTGCAAGTGCCCACTCAAGTGACCGTGCTCCACCCTCTTGCTCATTCTACCTTTCCTCCAACTGCCTCCCCTCTGCTTTCTCCCTTCTCTGCCTGCTCCCCCTCCTCACTGCAGGTATCACTGCGCAAGTGGCTGCGTTGCAACGTGACATCGGTGGTGGCCATCTTTGAGGACCGCTTCCTCCTCTGGGGGCTGCGCCGCTCCTCGCCACCCCCTGCCCTCCCCACGGCCCACCTCACCCCTGCTGCTGCCGCATGGTCAAGTCCAGAACCCACAACGCCATCCTTGTCACAGCAGCAGCAGCATGCACCTCAGCTGCCCCCCGTGTCGTTCCCCAACGACTTCTCCAGTGCGAGCAGCACCTCAGCAGGCGCGCCTCTGGCCTGGCTGCAGGGGCTGCTGAGACGAGGCAGCGCGAGCAGCGTGGGTGGTGCCGGCACCGGCGGTTCAGGCATGGGGACAGCGAGTGACACGCGGCAGTGGTGGCAGGGGAAGAGGAGGCAGAGTAGGGTGGGGGAGCGGGGGCAACAAGGAAGGGTGGGTGGGCCTGTGGGTCTGGTGCGGTGCAGTGTGGTGGGCAGCAGACGAGGGGAGCTGCGACAGCTGAGAGGATGGTGAGAGGAGGGTGGGGTGGCGTGGTGGGTAGGGATGAGGTGGGGAGCAGGCATGGGTGGTTGGCGGGCATGGGTGGATGGGTGGTTGGCGGGCATGTGTGGTTGGCGGGCATGTGTGGTTGGCGGGCATGGGTGGCGATCAAGCATGTTTCCATTGGGATGGCTCCATGGGGAGGCGTGTAAGACGGTCTCCCAAAGCTTCTTCTCCCCGTACCTTCATCACTGCTTCCACCTGTCCTATTTTTGCATCACCTTCCCTCCACTTTTTGTATCTACCTATCTGTCCACAGGAAGCTGCTGGTGGTGGTGGCATTGGAGCTATCGGATCTGCTCATTCCGCTCTTCAAGGCGGCCATCACAGCAGCAGGCAGGGCCGTCTCCTTCCTCCTCGTTGCTCTCATTGGTCGCTCGCTGGGCCTTGTGTATCGGGGCATCCGGCAGAGCTGGGGCCAAGCTCTCTAGCTGCACTGCTGGGTCGGTCGTTTACTGCTTTTTAAATACATTCGGCCAGTTCAGCGCTGGTCATGTCCAACCAAACTCATCAGCATCAAGCGGTTTTACAATGTGTCAACCGCATCACTCCGCTTCCATCCAAACATGGCAATCAGTGCAGGCAGTACCTGTCATCAAATACGTCTGACTGACCAGTGCTTGCTGTAGTTACGCATCTCAGAAGCCTATTGCTCAGTTCAGTGAAGTGCTGCGCTTTTACTGGTACCGTAGTTCCTCACCCTCGTTTGCAGTGTAATATAATATGGTCTCAATCTCGGTGCCATCCAGCAGAAATACGTCTCACATGCAGCATGCACCAAAGGCTCCTGATAAAAGACTACCGGCACTCCAGCGAACAGGTTGACCTTCCCTACTTCTTCCTGCTGACAATGAGGTTCCCAAACACATCATTGAGGGCAGTGGATGACGTCAATGCTGCCTGGACAAGGGCGAGTGCCTGCAAACACGCAAGCCAGGACGTTAGATCCTGAATCAGACAATGCCAACTACCGTAGATAATACCCTACCCGCACTCACATGGTCCTTGGTGACGGTGGTCTCGCAGCTCTCCAGGTCAGCCATGGACTTCACGCCCAGTGTGTTGAGCAGGTTGATGCTCTTGATGGTGGAGCTCGGGTAGAACTCCAAGTTGTCTGTCACCATGAACGTCAGCGCTTCCTTCACAAAGCCCCCCAGAGAGTTCGCACTGTTGTCAACTACGGCGAAGTACTGGTTCATGTTATACGGTAACCACAGCCAGTGCAGTACGATCCGGCATGGCCCATATAATGGCGTGAAGAACAAGTGTAAGGCCGTGAGCCATTCACAGTGTATCCTCGATCTGGCTGTATGCTCTGGGTCATGACCCGTGCACATGAGCCACACTTCGCACCCGGTCCAATCGAGAGATACCAATGGTTCGCAGTGGAGCACGTAAAATACCCAGACCTTTCTGTCGAATGCTTTACCTTTTCCTGCCAACCAAGAAGGTGCACCAGCGTCCCCTCCAAGGGAGACGGGTGTACAACGAAGCCCTTCTCCACCTTCAGGTAGGAGCTGTCAAGCTGCTCCGCACTAGAGAAGACGTTAAATATCCCAACGCGGTTTCTGGTCGTCATTTCGGCCTCCGAGAGTAGGCTCAGCACATTGGCAGTTGGCATGCGAAGGAGAGCCAAAAGAAGGTCAATGAAGTCCTTTCCCGCCTCGACGTAAAGAATTTTCCCTTTCTCCTGAGACATGAGCAACATTGAAAGGCCAAAGTAACAGAACACGTGTATCGCTTAGGAGGAATAAAATCGTGCCTTACCCTGCTTAAGAGAATGTCGACTTTCATTGAAGACATTGGGCGGCCTGGCACACGGAGTATTTCAAAATCGTACCCAGCTCGGCAGGTGAGCGATGCAGCTTTCTGTAATAGTAGTACAAGGTAAGAATACGAAAATATCTGGGGCTAAGGAGCAGATAGCGCGTCCACGGCGCCTTGGTCGGACTCCGACGTGTACCCTTCTTTACGGTAACTCGTTTTAAGATGGAACATGCACCTTTGTTAAGACTCGTTGCTGCTTGATACTAAAAACGTGACGTTTCTGTCAGGGCCCACACACTGCGGGCGGCTACTGTCATCTCGTCCACGTCAGACTCCGAGTCTCGGAGCTCAGCTCATGACGTGAAGCATCACACCACAATCCACGAAATCGTCGCGAAGATAAGTTTGGAGACATCAACGCGAGTCGCTGAGAGTGCATGATTTCCGTCTTCGGTCCCCCCTGTCCAAGTTTCGTGACCCTTGAACTGGAGGGTAACTTGACACTATCTTTGAGCTCTTTGGCACAAGCTTCGCCCTAGTACTAAGTGCTGAGGACGCGGTGAAAGTGGAGAATCGATCGCCAAAGGATCGTTTTTTAGCGCGGTTATAAAAGGTTGTGTACTTTTCGTGTCTAGAATGCGGGTTTCAGTGCGGTGACCGAATCGAAGACCCCCGATCGAGCACTTTCACCGCGTCCTGAGCTGGGAGGTTGAGAAAGGTTGGGGTGGGGTTCCACGGTTTAGTTCTCACCTCAGCAGCAACCCAAATCCGAAATTCATCACGAGCTGTCGGACGCGCTTCGGGTTCTATCTCGGTTTCGATACAGTACGCTAATCATTCAAACTCTTTCTGAAATTTCTCGTGTTTATGCAAGGAAATAGCTATCCTTTTTTGCAAGTGGTTAGAACGGTATTTGATTGGCCTTTGATCAAAGTGGTTAGAACATTTTGATCAAGTGGCGGCGACACCGCCGGTGGTTAGAAAATGTTTACAGAAGGGCAGGGTACGCACAAAAGAGTATCCTAGTGTCACTTCCACATCAACCTCCAGGCTTGGTACGATATGCCTGATATATTCTTTATTGGTTAAGCCTGGTTCTAGTAAGGAGTAGACCCAAGCATATTGCCGGGTGGCGAATAGTCGCACACCCACATGCCTCCCCCATCCGCACACTGGGCAGCACCGCACCCCACATGTGTGGTATCCCGCCACACCACCTGTGTGTAGTGCCCACACATCTTGCCGGCCGCACACCCCTCCGGCACAGGGCTGTACGTCCAGTCCGCCTTCTCCGCCACCCACGACTGCACCGCCGCCCGGTCCTCGTCACTGTTGAGCTGCACAGGGCCCTTCCAGTACAGGTTCTGCCCAAGCCCATCCGCTCCTCCATGCTCCATGATGCACCCTCTAGAAGCAAGCTCATTCGCCCAAGCCTGTGCTGTTGCTGCCACCCCGTCGTCCCATGAGAGGTCCGGCACACCCACTTCCTGCCGGGCCTTGTTATGCTCCTCCAGAATTGCTGCCACGTCCACACTGCTGCTGCTGCCACCGTTGTCGGTGTCGCCGCCACTGCCGGTGTCGCCGCCATTGCCGGTGTCGCCGCCACTGCCGGTGTCGCCGCCACTGCCGGTGTCGCCGCCACTGCCGGTGTCGCCGCCACTGCCGGTGTCGCCGCCACTGCCGGTGTCGCCGCCACTGCCGGTGTCGCCGCCACTGCCGGTGTCGCCGCCACTGCCCGTGTCGCCGCCACTGCCCGTGTCGCCGCCACTGCCGGTGTCGCCGCCACTGCCCGTGTCACCACCACTGCTGGTGTCGCCACCGCCGTCAGTGCAGCCATCCGCGTTCACCTCGTCCAGCTGCCTGCGACTGGAGGCACGCAGCAGCAGCTTGCGAGGCGAACTGGCGCTCTCTGACTGACCGCTGCTGCTGATGGGTGTGACTCCAGCGGAGGTGACTGCAGCGAGAGCTGGCATGGCGAGTTCAGATGTGACTAATGCGAATACTGCAGACAGACAGACATGGGTCAAGAGTGGAATGGGAAAAAAGGAATGATTGATGACGGAGTGAGGGGAGAGGGCAAATAAGGAGAGGTAAGAATAGGAAGGGGAATAGCAGGCGAACGAGGATTATGAGAAAAACAGGAGAGGGACAGAGGTGGGAAAGAATGAGGGGAAACGGAAGGATGAGCCATGAACGGAGGGATGGGAGGGGGGAGGGAAGGAAGGGGAAGGGAAGAATGGGAGGGAGACGACCGGGAGAGACGAAGATGAGAGAGAAGAACAGGGGATGAACAGGGGATGAACAGGGGATGAACAGGAGAGAGAAGAACGGGGGATGAACTGGAGAGAGAAGAAAGGGGACGAGCAGGAGAGATAAAAGAAGGCGTGAGGGTCCTGACTAAAAGAAAGTACACAAACTGGTCGAAGCAGAAGCTACTACCCATAAGGAAATCACTTTTGAGAGTTCTCAAAAGAAGCTACTATCACCTACTTGAACGGATTCGACCACACACTATCTTCGCCTTGGGATTGAGAACTGACCTATTCCAACAACAATGGCTCGAGCACTCAACCTATTCCAGAACCAAGCCGGAAACTCACCCATTGCGGCGCAGAAGAGATTCAACATTCGGACGACGACAGCCATTGTCAGAGAATCGACAAGAGGCGAGCGCAGAGGTAAACTCCGAACTTGTAAGCTCTAAATTACGAATTTGATTCTGTCAGCGTGGTATAGATAAGCTGAAATTTGAGCCTGATCGGGCGAAGTAAGGCTGGAATGAGAAGAGCCAGCGGGCTGCTGAAAGTACAGCGAGAGATATTTTTAGGGAAAAAGGCAGCTCCATTAAATCTTTATGGAACGCAATTCAGGCGGAAACGGACAAACGAGACGTCGATGTTCCGTTGGAGGCAAGCGCGGCGCTTCGAGGCGTGAGTCGCACGAGTGCGACTTCGTATCCCGAGACGTCGCGAAGATGGTTCTCAGATGACTTGACGATCTCTAGCGGATGCGCTCCAGGCAACCACGGGAACCGTCGGCAATGGCCGCCTTAAACAAGGCGCGACGCGTAGATCAGAAGGGATCCGACGTCGTTGCGACAATAATCTCGCGACTTGACCCTGTAGCGAGCTGTACTAACTGTGCTCGGTCGGATTGGAAACCGTGATGCCGTCGAAGCGCAACCAGCAGGCACAAATAATTGTGCTGCAGGGGAAAGGGAGTGCGAGTCACAAGGGCCCCATGTGAGAGTGTCAGACTGGTGAGAAGCGGTAGGAAGCGGTGGAGTCAGAAAATCGTTACAATTTTATTGAATAGAGGATCCTCTCATAAGAGGGCCTGTAGAGTTTGTTATCCAAAAGTGCAAGTTCAATGCTCTTTTATCCAGTGGACGTGCCTTCTGCCATTATCCATTAAGGAACCTCCTATTGGTGTTCTCTTCTTTTTCACCCTGAGAAGAGAACAAAAACAGAAACATAACCCTGCACGTATTATCCAGTAACGGAAAACGCGCAGCGCCCAGGGCTGACGTTTCATTTTAAGCCTCCCTGATTCCGGGGAAAATTTTCCCCCTCTATTATGGGTGCACATTTTCCAGAAAACAGTACCCTGATTGCTCAGGGTTGTATAGTTAACTCTGATTGTTCAGGGTCGAGAACTGAACATCAGAGTAGTAACGCGCGCTTTGTTACCGGGGAAAAATCCCCACTCTCCATAAAGTCTGCGCGCTGTGTTTCCCGCTGGCTGTACACTTGACTGATTTGTGCAGGGCGGGTGTGATTTCTTAGAATCTAGGCAAGAATGTATGATTAGGTCAAGGGGGGGGTACAAGAAGAATGTCGAGAGAAATGTTGTACCCCCTAGTGCTAACCCCCATACAGCCTAGACAACCTAAACATGCATATATCATTTGACACACCCCCATAGGCGAAATGGGGGATAGCCAGAGCAAGCAAAGGTCACAAGACCAGTCAAGAGAAGAAACAAAACACAGCTCAGGGTGGATCACAAAGTCACCACACACACTGAGCACAAGCAAGAGGCCACAAGGCCAGTTCACATGCAGAGATGTATATGTCAAATTATATGCTTGTGTCATAATAAAATGTAGGCTTTAGTGGGGTAGCTAATGTAGGGTATAGCATTTCTTACTTGTACCCAACTTTCTCGATAGTGCAACCATCCCTACCAACCTACTCTAACATGGTATTAAGAGCACTTAGGTCTTAGGACCTAATTTCCTAGTGGGCCCACCATTAACTCTCGTGTTTTAGGGTTTCCCCTGCCTGTCGAGCTGCCCCACCCGTCGCGCCGCCCTGCTGGCCGCGCGACGCGCGTTTTTTTTTTTTTTTTTTTTTTTTTTTTTTTTTCTCGTCACCCCGCCCTAGGGCCCGGCCCCGCCCGTCGCGTCGCCTTAGGGCCTTCGCGCCGCCCACCGGAGCCAGACACGCTGCCCTGCTGGCAGCGCGCGACCTCGCTTGGCCCGTCGCGCACCTGTAGGACCCGCGAGCCGCCCTTCCCTGCCCGCCGCGTCGCCCCTTTTTGGCAGCGCGCGGCTCGGCCCCGCCCTCGCACACCCCTACAACCCTCGTGCCACACTCTGACAACCGATGCGGCCCCGCCCTGCCCCAACGCCGCCCCTGGAGCAGCCGCCCCTGGACCCAGAGCAGCCGCCCCTGGCTCCTGCAGCAGCCGCCCCTGGTGCAGCCGCCCCTGGACCCTCGAGCAGCCGCCCCTGGACCCAGAGCAGCCGCCCCTGGCCCCTGCAGCAGCCGCCCCTGGTGCAGCCGCCCCTGGACCCTCGAGCAGCCGCCCCTGGACCCAGAGCAGCCGCCCCTGGCCCCTGAAGCAGCCGGCCCTGGTGCAGCCGCCCCTGGACCCTCGAGCAGCCGCCCCTGGACCCAGAGCAGCCGCCCCTGGCTCCTACAGCAGCCGCCCCTGGTGCAGCCGCCCCTGGACCCTCGAGTAGCTGCCCCTGGACCCAGAGCAGCCGCCCCTGGCCCCTGAAGCAGCCGCCCCTGGCCCCTGAAGTAGCCGCCCCTGGTGCAGCCGCCCCTGGACTCCGTGCAGCCACCCCTGGCCCCTGAAACAGCCGTCCCTGGTGCAGCCGCCCTTGGACTCCGTGCAGCCGCCCCTGGACCCCACGACGCCGCCCCTGGACCCGCGACGCCGCCCCTGGACCCCGTGCAGCCGCCCGCCGAGCGCCGGCCCTGCTCGCCCGGCGAGCGCCTGCTTTGCCCGCCACTGGTGAGCACCTGCCTTGTTACCGCACTGCCTGCCTGCCAGCATGCCTGCCTGCCTGCCAGCCTGCCTGCCTGTCTGCCTGCCTGCCTGCCTACCTACCTGCTTGTCGCGCCTGCCCTGCCCGCGCTGCTGTTGCGACTACTGCCACTACCACTGCTACTGCTGCTACTGGCGGTGGCCAGATGCAGCTCCAGCGACGTCCGCGCGAGTCTCTCACGCCCCAGCAGCTTCGTGAGTGGTACGCTAGTTGGGGTTGTGGCGGTAGCCGTCGTGGCTGTCGCCCTGGAGCTGGTCGGTCGGGAGCGTCTGGCAGTGGCCAGCTGCAGCTGCAGCGGCGTCCGCGCGAGACACTTATTCCCCAGCAGCTTCGTGAGTAGTACGCTCATAGTAGAGGGTCTTTGAGTACCGTTCGCTGCCCGTACGTCATTCGCACAGGTGATCGGACTGGTCAGGCTTGCGGGACGCTTAGTCACACACAGTCCCGCTGCTTCGCCCGTCTGAGCGACGCCTGGCGTACCGAGTTTGGCGACGAGGCTGAGCTCCCCGACTGGGTGGAGCTGCTTGGGCAGAGGGTAGATATCTTTGCTCTTGACAATGATGCTATTCTCACTGCCATGTATGCATTGCTTACTAGTGCTGACCGTGCCTGTTACCTGTGCGTACCGCCTGACCCACGTATAGAGCCTGCTGCTCTCGGTGCTGGTGAGGCTGCTGCTCGAGGTGCTCGTGCGTCTCCTGCTCTAGGTGCTGGTGAGGCTGCTGCTCTAGGTGCTAGTGCGTCTCCTGCTCTGGGTTCTAGTGAGGCTGCTGCTCCAGGTGCTGGTGAGTCTGCTCTCTCTGGTACTGCGCCTGCTGAGGCCTTATACACCTTCACACTTGACTCAGGTGCATCCCGCTCCTTCTTTCGCGACAGCACCACCCTCACGCCGCTCATCCGGCCGGTTCCAGTCTCCCTGGCAGACCCCTCTTGGGGTCCAGTCCTTGCACACTCCTCCACGGTCCTGCCGTGTACGGCGGTCCCGTCTGCCTCCCTGTCAGGTCTTCACCTCCCTTCGTTCTCTACGAACATGGTGAGTGGTGCTAACCTCCAGGACCAGTGGGTTGACCAGTTCACTCCTGGAGGTCAGCGCGTGACCCACTGTACGTGCTCCCGGACGGGCCGGCACCTGGCCACGTTTACCCGTGTGCCTGGCTCGAGTTTGTACACACTGACTACTGTGTCCCCTCAGGTCGCTGCGTCTGCGTCTGCGTCAGGTCAGCTAGCGGCCCCCTGCTCGTGTCGCGCTTTGTTGCACCAGACCCTCCTTTGGCACCACCGTCTTGGTCACCCCTCGGTGCAGCGCCTTCGTAGCATGCACCGCCGTGTCCTTGTCTCTGGTCTTCCCAGGGTTCTACCTCCCCTCCCACCCTCGCCTGCTCCTCCCTGTCTTCCCTGTGTCGAGGGGCGGCAGCGCGCCGCTCCTCACTCCTCTTCGTTTCCAACAGAGGCTCCACTGCGGACTCTCCACCTGGACGTGTGGGGCCCAGCCCGCGTCCGTGGACCCGGCCACGAGCGGTACTTCCTGCTGGTCGTCGACGACTACACGCGTTACACCACGGTCTTCCCCTTGCAGCGCAAGGGGGAGGTCCCTGATGTTTTGAACCCTTGGAACAGCGCTGTTCGTCTCCAGCTCCGCGAGCGGATCCAGTCGGACTTTCCTGTCCTGCGTCTGCACTCTGACAGAGGTGGTGAGTTCTCCTCAGACCTCTTGGCAGCCTTTTGTGCGGAGCACGGCATCCGCCAGAAGTTCACGCTTCCGGCCTCTCCGCAGCAGAATGGGGTTGCTGAGCGCCGCATTGGCTTAGTCATGGAGGTCGCTCGTACCTCCATGATCCATGCGGCTGCCCCCCATTTTCTGTGGCCGTTTGCAGTCCGGTACGCCGCGCATCAGCTCAACCTCTGGCCCCGTGTCTCCTTGCCGGAGACCTCGCCCACACTGCTGTGGACGGGGAAGGTTGGCGATGCGTCGCGTTTCCGGGTCTGGGGTGCTCGTGCCTTTGTCCGCGATACCACCGCGGACAAGCTCTCCGCCTGCGCTGTTCCCTGTGTCTTCCTTGGCTTTGTCCCTGACGCGCCTGGTTGGCAGTTTTACCACTACACCTAGCGCCGTGTCTTCCCCTCTCAGGACGTCACGTTCGACGAGTCGGTTCCCTTTTACCGTCTCTTCCCCTACCGCACTGCCCCTCTCCCCCCCCCGCCACTCTTCCTCGCTCCAGGTGCTCCCCAGGTAGACCCCCTCCCCGCGCCTGGTCCTGCTCCTTCAGGTGTGTCTCAGGTAGACCCTCCTCCCTTGACTGCGCCGGTTGAGGTCACTGGTGACTCAGGTCCTGCTGAGAGTGGTCCTGCTCGGGGTGCTGCTTCTGGG